AGACCAGCTGGTGACTTTGGCGTCTTCTTAAATTATAATGTACACCCAATTTACTCTCATTTGCTGTGAGATTAACTGGGAAATTTGTTTAGATCTTTTCCCCAGAGGAAGAGGCTGCTGGAGTGTGAGGGTTGGGCGGAGGTGGTGTATTAATGCCACAGCCGTGTTATTAACTCAATAGCTGCACTATGTGCCAGTTACACTCACTATAATCTACACGGACATTCTACATGTGACAATGAGTACAAACACAATTCATCTAAAGCTTTCTCTTTGCGACATCAATACAGAGCAAAGTGTACTCAATAGATTATCTGTAAGTTTGAGAGGCCGTAATGTAGTTACTGCTACAGTCACGTTGACAGCAGGACTGAGGAAAGGCCTTCTGGCCATTTAAAGGTTGGTTTACATTTAAAATCCAGAGAGGCTTAGCGCAGAGAAAGAACACTGCAGGTGGACATAATGCTGTGTCAGGCGTTTGGGCTCGAGCCAGCTGCTCTCTTTATTCTCCTCCCTCCCTTCCTCCCTCCCTCTATCTCTCTCTTGCTGCTTGTGTGTGTGTGTGTGTGTGTGTGTGTGTGTGTGTGTGTGTGTGTGTGTGTGTGTGTGTGTGTGTGTGTGCGTGTGTGTGTGTGTGTGGGTGTGTGTGTGTGTGTGCACCTGCATGTATGTGCTCATGAAATCTACAGAATGCACACACTTCTGATTACTCCAGAGGCTATTGCTCCCTATTAACCTCATCCTGCTTACTAAGAGTTCTCCAGTGGCTCATAAACTTCGCACAGTAAGACTTTGGGAGATGAGTGATGCCAAAATATAGTCCCATAGTTGAACTTTGACACCTAGCTACTGACCTGGAACCTATCCAAACTTATTTTTAGCCTGCTGTTAGCGCATATGGTGGGATTTCTGCCAGGATTGTACTAACAATGCAGCTAAGCAGACTTCACAGGAATTACTTTTCTGGGTCTAGAGACTGTCCATATGTAAAAGAACAAACTTATTTTTCACCAGAAGACATTTAAGCTAATTGCCTGCAATTAAAATGTCAGAATTAGCCCAATTAGGATTACAATTGTAAAGGGTTATTGTAGTCACTCTGTACCTGATTGTCTGCAGCATCGATAGTCGGTCGGGATCGGAGGCAGAGAAGGTCGTGAGGCTGGTGCCAGCAGGGACCCCCTCCTCAAAGCGGATGTGTTTGGGGTTATTGGGGAAGTAAGGGGGCTCGTTGACGTCCTGCACGGATATGGTGACTCCAGCTGTGGACTGGAGCGACGACTGGATGCCACTGGCTAGGTGGGCCTGGTTGGTGACCACCACCGTCAGCATGAAGGCACGGTTCATCTCATAGTCTACTGGCTGCAGCAAGGAAGTAACAAGAAGAATGTGTGAGAAGAGAAAGTTGAACTGATTTCAATAAATTAAAACATTACAAAATCGTTTTTTATGCTAAACAGTCAGAGATAGTTTTTAGATAATGAATTCCAGCACGGGGATAACATTAAACCCTGTGAACTCCTACATTATAAAGCTGGAATGCTACAATTTGTACTTCCTTATTATAATTGACCTAGTACATTTTACATATTTAAAAAGAAGACTGCCAAAATATGATAGGAAGTTCTTCTTTTAATACAATCCAGTATTGTTAAATGTTACCTAGCCTAACCTCTGTGTGAACTGATAATGAAAATATAAACTACATCTATATGGTAATTATTGCAGTGTTGATATTGTTCTTTTCTGTATCTATCATGTTCACTCAATTCAGGTTCCTGTATATATGGGGAAAAGAAAAGAAGGGATTTATGATTATTTAAAAATAAATACATTCTCACTTAAAACTATCGTCGTCATTAATTATTTAAAGGTACAGAAAAGAGATTCAAAATGTCTTTCTCAGTCTGTGAATATGAATAACATTAGAGGTATCATTACCATTATTACTTTTTATGAGCAAACGATGTCAAGTATTCCGGCATATATTACGCTCATTATAGAGTAAAAACCCCTGTCAACATTTCTCTTTTGTGGCTGGGGAAAATGCGCTGCACCTCGCTGATGATAAAGGACATTATAATAAATGAGCAGATGCCGTGTCAAGTGTTGCCATGATAAATTGGACCCATATTCTCTCTAAACTACTCACCAAAACACACACACACACACATACACACATATCCTGAGAAGTGGCAGCAGGGCTTAGTCTATTCATAGGGTGCTGTCATGACTGCCTTTTCAGTGTGTGTGTGTGTGGGTGTGTGTGTCACACAGTGTGTATATGTGTACTCTACAGGGGTTTTACCGGCTGAGCCTAAACCAGAGTGACAGTTCCGTGCTCTCCTAATGAAGACAACACGATCAGGTTCAAATGGCAACAACAACAACAAGCAAGGAAATAAAAAAGAGAACAAATATGGAGCTTGTAGGTCCTGCTGGCACATTTTAAATAGGCGGGTGATGATTACTGCTGCAAGGCTTGTGTCTGTGGTGTTTGATGGTGATGTTAATGATATTGAGCACATCTGTATGTTGCGTTGCCTGAGTGTTATCAGCGGACAGGTTGGCAGCCCAGCTCAGATATAAAAAGACATTCTTAATCAGACAGCTTCGTTGACAAGGGCACTGGAGTGGATGTGTGAGTGTGCTAGTTTGTATTACACTATGTATGTATATGCAAGGATATACAAGTAAATGGAAGCTCAAAGGTGTGTATTTGTGTTACACCTTTGGTGCACTTGGAAGCTTTTTACAGGCACAGCACGTTCAAGGATCTTTGATCTACAACCAGTGGTATTCATAGCACAGGGTGGTCTAGAGTGTAGCTGTAGGCTAACTAAAACACGCATACACACTCAAACACACACATCCTGAGGGAAGCCAGGAGGGTGAGAGGTCAATAACACGGCTTCCATCTTTTGCCCATGAGCCGTCACATCTTACATCTCCTCTGTATCGCTTCGCTCGCTCCTGTCTTTCCCTCTTACTTAATTTGTTTCGCTGGACTCCAACGTCCCACCCCCTCGTCTGCTCACCTCTGCCCCCCTCACACCCTCTGTGATCTTTGCTCTCTGCATCTTTCAATCCTCCAAAATCTGTCTTTGCCTCACTTCTCTCCTCCTCTCCACTTCCCCTGTCATCCCTCGTGTTTATCATAAGCTGCGATTTACATATCTTAATGACTCATTCGAACCAAGCAGCTCTGTTTGTGTATTATTTTGCGTGCTTGTTTGTCTAGTGGCTCTATTACCGTGCGGAAAAATGAGAATGCGTCTCATAATATCCCCAGAGAGCAGTATAAATGTGTGACATGTTATGGTTAAGACCTCAGCCCTTGTTTACAGACAACCCTCGTGGGAGATTGCCACATACCTAGGTGTCAGTGATACGATGCGTCCGTACTAGCAGCCGCAGATGGCTTAGAGAAATGGGAACACAGAGGTAGCGCCTTCTTACGGCTTCTTGACTTTACCGATATTGAGTCTGATGTGAACCATCGGCTCCCTTTTCCCGGAGCAAGCCAAAGCCCTTGTTTACTTGTTAAGACAGTCTATTTCTTCCCAGGGGGTGTCCTGTCTCTTATTTTATGATTTCCTGATAACCTCCCATGGGTGTCGATGGAAGCTCACGGCTACCCGGCTGCCTGCTGAATTTAACATCAGGGAGTGAGAGGAATGGATTATAAAAGGCAGTCATCTAGAGATAATGAAGAGAAGCAAAATGCCAATGCTCATTGCTCACGGTGCTGTGGGAATTACAAGGGTGATGTTATTGCTAGTTTATAAACATTATTGTAGGCTGTGAGATGTGATTTGCAGGAGTCAGATGCACAGAGAGAATACCCCCGGGTCCTCAGGGTCATGCGTATCAAAAATAAAAAGTATTTCTACAAACACATGCAACATGATAAACACATTAATAGCAAATGGTTGAACAGAGGAATACCAATGTTTAGGGACATTCAACAGGACGTACTGTGCATCTAAACACGGAATACCAGCTGAATATCATACAGATTTTCATGCTGTTGCTTATTTCCTATATCTTTATATAAACGGGTTAAAACTCTCCAGACAACCTCCGTCTGAGAGGTTGAGCAGCAAATTGTTACAAGACATGGTTTCGTTGTCGCTGTCATTTACCACAGCAGCTAGAACATTATGAGTGTATTAAACCGTTGCCTTGTAATTGAGAAATCAATACCTAATTTGCTACAGTGGCCTCGCTAGCCATTGTGTTTCAAGTCTGTGTGTGGGTGCATGAAGGGCACAGCAGCATCTAATACCTCATATGGACATAAGGGGCCATACTGTATGAAAGGGAAAAGACTCCTTAATCTGAAGACTATTATTGTTGCCTTTGATTTAAGGTGATCTAAAAGTCAGCAGAGACAAAGAGACAACAAAAGTTTCGGAGATGAGCATGTTGTGATGACTTACCTTCACCACGGTGACCATGCCGTCGTTGCTGACGGGGTCCGTGCGGATGGTGAAGTGCCCGTTCGGATCTCCACTGATGATCCTGTAGATGGCGTTCCAGTTCGGAGAGTGCGGTTGGTCAGCATCTATCACCGTCAGATTAGCCACCACAAGATCCACTCGGTTCTCCGGGACCTCACCGGAAAACTGCAGAAAGTAGAGTATAAAATTATACACTGTTTTCTGATGCTTTAAAATATTTTTATTGTGACTGTAGGTCAGGTCTTATGGGATCCATTGAGCCATTTGAGTGTGGCAATTTATACAAAAGTGCTTATTTTTCATTAACATTTTCCCTTTACAGTCCTTCTTTTAGGGTTTTCAGGTAGAGTAAGTTTAATGACCACGCTTTACCACAGCTGAGTAGTAAACAGGCCGTAAACACAGTTTCACACCAGCAAGCACATGCACACAGGGGCGTTGTTCCAGTTTCAGTGTTTTCTGCATTCCCAGTGCCCATCCTGAGAAATAATATTTCATTCTTTGGGAGCCAGAGTGAAGAAGGAGAGAATAGATGAACAGAAAGAAACCAGCAGTGGGGAGGGTTAAACATCTGTTTGAGTGTATATGAGTGGCTTTTAGTTGTTTCTCCGCTGTACAAACACATGTGCTTTGTCCTGATAAGCCTGATGAGGAGTGAGCCGCTGTCTGTCATATGTCTGTTATGGTGGGGATTGATCAAAGCTGTCCAGGCTCAGGGGATAAAGCCCACAAAGAAGAACAAACAACAGCAAAGAATGCACCGTTACGCTGTAAAAACACAACTCAACCGCAGCCACACCTACACGGACAACCCATCAACTCTTGAGCAATTACGTGTGGTCCGAAGGTGAGCATGTTGACGTGTTGTTCACCTCATCTGAAGGCAACAGGCGTGGAGCATCATACAGTTGCCATGTCACCATGGGTAACAGGCGTGGAAGAGCCGCTGAGCAGCTTATGTGAGTGTAGGATATCAAAGAGCAAAGCCCCAGACCAAACACTCAAACAGACCATAATACCCTGCCTGGCAACCCTCGCATCACCCAGCAAACAGCCAACAGCAGCGGGCAGATTAGGGCGCTGCGTCAGGAGAGCTGTTCAGAGACTCAATGACATTCTTAAGACAACAGACATGTCCGGGTGGTCGTGATGCACTGACTGAAATGTATAAGTAGGCATGCTGTTGTATGTACGTGTCACAGTGAGTGTGTGTTTATGTGTGTGTTTGAGAGGTTTATTACTGTGGTTTGGTTCAGGGACTCCCCGATGCCAATTCAATAAAATACAACTTCAGAGATGGCTCTTGAGCTCCTAAGGGCCCTTGAGCATCTTGTTTCTCAGCACACAGTAACAAGTGAGGACGAGAGTTAACCAGATCTGATGGAAGGGTTTAAAGAGTCCACCACAGCTGTTAACATCAATACCCCAGTTCAAGATTTCTTCCCTCATTATCTCTTTACGGGGTAGGTGGTGCTCCTCTCAGGCATTTACAGCTAGAGTAATAAAAGTATTACTTATTTTTCCCTTAGCAAATCGTGTGTGTGTGGCATGGCAGTTTTTCTTTATCTCCCAAACATAAAATTATATTATCAGTACAATCACTTAGCAAATTAATTTCAGGTAGTTCACTTTCAATGGTAAAACTTACAAGGGTGTGTAAATACCAACTTTAGGAGGTATGTGAAGTCAAGTGCCCTCCAAACACTCAACATAAATCTGTGAATGACTTCCTTTCCCACATACCAGAACAAATGAAAAGCTTGTGAAATGCAGTTGATGTAAACATTCTCAAGGACACCATTTCATATATCTACTGTGTCATTAGGGTGCATCTAAGAGTTAGCTTTCAAATGAGAAATTAAAGTGAAAATAATAACCATAACAGGTTCTTCAAATTCTCCATTATATTCATTAATGTAATGATTGTTCTATTTCTTTATGACTCCATCTTTTATCATTAAAACTCTGACTTATGTTAGTGTTGTTGTCAATAAAGGTTTTTAATTCAGCATTTGTGATTTTGAACAGAGAGCATTATTATCTCTCTTGAAAACGATGAGGTTGTTCTCTATCTTAAACTCTTTTTATCATTTATTAGCTCAAAATTACATTTGACTGTATACGTGTAGTGAGATTTGTTTTAACAGGGAGATGTGATATTGCAAAATGTTTTTCACACTAGATTTCCTCTTATCAGGTATGTCTTCTGTATATGATACTGTATCTTGTCCCCAACAGATGGACTACAGGAAGGAGTGGAAAGCTCTTTGATTGTGATTGGCACGGAACACTTGGCTTTCTAACAGCACTTGACAAAATACCTCTTGCCAACACTCTGACCCGTCTGTCACTATTTTGGCAGTGGGGAAAGACTAAAGGACGCGAGGAGAGGGAAGGGGAGAGAAAGGAGAAAGTGACAGGGGACTTCATCATAGGAACTTTGTGAGGATGGTAAAGGAAGGAGGCCAAGGAAAGCACTGCAGTACATCCAGCACACAGAGACACCCTGATGTACACAACTACAAAACCTCCCGATACGATGTGGCACACAGACGTCACAGTGCTGTTTGAATAAATAAACAAAAGAGATAAATATATATTTTCTCAAATCATCACATCCATCAGCATCACAGGCATAATGCAAAGCATGTATGCAGCCCAGAATAAGCTTCCCATCCGTACACATACACCACCCTTTGCCGCCTTGAGAAATAGGGCAGCCTCTGATAGGCATGATGAAATATTAATCATCAACATTACAGACAAATCCCCCAAACTTTGTATTTCTGGGACACGTTGGAAGATCTATGGGGTTTATTGCAAACACTAAATATTTGCATAATGGCCTGTATTCTCAACAAAATGGCTTTTATGTTATCCCACCACTAAAATGTGTGATTCATGGAGGGAGTGGGTAAAAGTGCTCTGCTCATCACTGCTCCAGACCTCCACTAAAGTTTATCATCAATATCCATGATAGTATTAACTTCCCTCTGTGGCGATGATGGAAATGCACTTAAACATGGTGGAATACAGTTAGAGAATATCAATCTATTACTAGCCACTATCATCAATAAGCAGCCATCAGAGAGGGATGCCGAGTCAGGAAAGGCCTTTGATTTACAACAAGGCATGTCTCTGCTTTATCACTGCCTCTGTAGAAAATAGCTCCTGTGACCAAATTATCCTTCATTCTTCCTCCTCTGCCCATCATTCTCTCATCACTTTTTCCTCTCTTCATTTTTCGTCAGCGTCTACAGTACATGGTGGTCGGCTCATCAACTCCTCGTCCCTCTTTGTTCTCTTTTTGCTAACCATTTCCTTTGTGAGTCTTCCTCTGCCCTCTCTCTGTACATGTCATGCTGTGTGTGATGTAGCAGCTCTCTGATGGGCTACACGGTTGACACATGCTTACCGCCAGTGCTAACTCATCATCATAGGGGTTTTGATAGCCCCCAGGGCAAATGCTAATGCTAACTCCTCTGCTACCACCTCAAAGAGCGGAGACGACTGTAGTGCTGATACCCCCTCAGCAGATGCAGAGCTAAGCACCTTATCAACCCAACATCCCCATGCTCTCATCACTACTGATAGCAAAGCACACACTCTGAATAATTCTGACCCCTAAAGCCAAACTGACACCGAGAAGAATTTTTCATCATAACTTGGAACTTAAATGCAGACACGCTGACTCCACTGTTGACCACATTTCTTAACAAATGCATGTGTCTGCCACATCAAATACAAAATATTCCTCATTTTATTTAATTAAAAAACATGGAAATAATTGCAAAGATATTTGAGTAATACTGCTGCCACCTTGGCTGTTTCACATGCACTAAACATGTATCATCTCTGAGAGAAATGACCAGAATTAAGATAAGAGACTGCATACAAAGTCAACTTTTTAAAAACAACTACATCTCCTGCTTCACTTGTTAAAGTATTGATGATGTAGCTGCATTTTACCACATTGTACATTACTTTGGACTTTTAATTTGACTCTCAATAATGACCTCCTGTAATGTAATCACCGCTTTAAATATCAGCATCGCATCAACAGCCTTTTACGATTTGCTGGGTCTAATTTTCTTGCTGATGAAAGTCAATATATGGATTAGTTTTCCTTGTGTGTGTGTGTGTGTGTGTTAGTTTGCATCCTCTACGAGGAAATAAGATAAGTACCCTTTGCACTTCACAATCCTCCTCCTGGCCATGTGTACAACTTCCTACAGTATGTAACAACATTACAGTGGTGTAGTCATTTCCTTTTTCTTCCCTTCATTCTATCCCTCTCTCCTTTTTGTCCTTCAATGTATGTCACTCACTAGCCTTAAATATATATTTGTAACAGTCATTCTCTTCTCTTAACCCAGACCAAATTCTTATTCGAGTTGTACCACAGTAGAAACTCACAGTTCTTGAGGTCAGCATGGGAGGGTTGTCGTTGATGTCGGTGACAGTGATGATGGCAGTGGCCGTGTTGGAGAGGCCGAAGTTTAGATTTCCCTCCATGTCCGTGGCTTGTACGATGATGGTATACTGGGACACTTTCTGTAACAGACAGAAACAGAGAAAGAATGCAGTTATTCATGTGAAAAAAAGAAACTTTCTCTTCATCGAGTCTACAGCAACAACCACAGAGTGTGAATCCCTGAGGGAGAATAAGCTGCGCTTGTGTTCTGTTCTATAGTAGCGGTCCATGCTCTTATTTGAAACACAGAATCACAGTGGTGATGTCTTCCATTCGACTGCGTTAAAACCTCCACAGCGGAACGTATCCAGACTTCACACCATCTGAAGGCTGCACTGTGGAGCCTCCCCATGGGTATGTCATCAAAGACGTTTCTTATCCAGTGCCACTGATGGACAGATGTGAAGACAATGATCCAACTGACAGAGATTAATAGACTATCTATAGAGCAATAATACAAGGGAATGATAAATGCCATTTCATCTTTTGAAATGACACTTCACTGCAAGCTGAAATATGGTTCGCTTATTTCTATTCGAGTACTAGGTTGAGCTGCCTCTCTATTCCAGTACCCGCTCTCTTCCTCTGTCCCACGGTGCAGTTAATGGGCTGCAGGAAGGATGGAGTCTGGGAGCAGACTGTCTGGGTAACGTGTCTCGTCACTGAGATTCCCAATTACAATCCCAGTGCCTCTCTCACCTGCTAATTACCGAGTAAATATCCCAATTAGGCCAGGACGCCACATCAGGAGGATTAGACAGTTCCTCTCATCTTGATGCTAGACGAGATGCTGAACTCCAACCTTGTACACACACTCTCATTAACACCCTTACGTACACACACACACACACACACACACACACACACACACACACACACACACACACACACACACACACACACACACACACACACACACACACACACACACACACACACACACACACACACACACACACACACACACACACACACACACACACACACACACACACACACACACACACACACACACACACACACACACACACACACACACACACACATCTCTCTTCCTCCCTATATTGTTCAGAGGCAGTGCTTGGCTGGCTGTCCCATCAGCCAGTGTACAGCGTGTACACAACACTCTCACTAATTAGACAAGGGAGTAATTATGTAGAGCTCCTCTGAACCTCTCAGCATTGCAACAACACCGCAGCATACCCAGCTTCCCCTGGAGGACTGAGGTCTGTTACTGTCAACAAGCTCTTAAAAGTCCACTGCAGACCAGGGGAAACCTTTAGAAGAGATACAGTGTGGGAGCTTATAAAGGGAAGGAAGAAAATATTTCAAAAGTGAAGAACAGAGGAGGAGATAAGAGACAGCAGGGGATGCAGCCAAGGCACAAGGGAGAGGGACGACCAAATATAGCTGCGTGTGTTTTCTTTTTTTGATGCACCTAACACCTCAAACACCCTAGCCCAAGAAAAGAAGGGAGATGCAGAAACTTTCAAAGTTTTAAAGGGCCAAAGTGCTGACTAAAAGAAGACCAGGGAAGCACTGCAGTAGAAGCATATTTCTGTGATGATGTACAATACATAAGAGTACATACATTTTTTTCTGCAAGGTTGGAGACTTCTTATCTCCTCTAATAATGTTGCAGGAAAACCAGTACATGTATTTTTATGCTACAGAACTGGTATTTAAGTGTGCACCACAAATGTATTCATCAATTGTATGTGGGAGAACACCAAATGTAGAGAATCTGATGCATGTACCTGTGTTTGTCTGTACACATATGGTATGTGATGATTTATGTCTTTACAGGTCTTCAAAAGTATAGTTATATAAACATGTGTGATTGAGTGTGTGTGATTGAGTGTGTGAGTGTGTGAGTGTGTGTGTGTGTGTGTGTGTGTGTGTGTGTGTGTGTGTGTGTGTGTGTGTGTGTGTGTGTGTGTGTGTGTGTGTGTGTGTGTGTGTGTGTGTGTGTGTGTGTGTGTGTGTGATCGTATGTCTGACTTTGTGTGTCCCCATTCGAATTTGTGAGAAATGCAGATATTCCTTGCATGCTTTTCTCAACAATTTCTCAACACATTTTTTTAAAACGACTCACAGTCAAATACATTTCTCCTTATCAAGAATATAGATAATGAAGTAGCAAATTAGTTCTTTATTTGGTTGGTATAAGTGAAAGGACAGTGATTGCCCCTCCCTTATTATAACCAGTGAGGGGTCTCTGAGCAGGCCCTTTGCCCAAATTGTCTCCATTGGAGCCGCTCAGTGGCCAACATACAACACTGAAGTTGAACTGGGCAGTTACCAGGTGTGAATGTGTGTGGGGGTGTGATACTACCTTGGGGAGGTTAATAAAAGTTAAGGGCTTGTGATGATTTATGTCTTTACAGGTCTTCAAAAGTATAGTTATATAAACATGTGTGATTGAGTGTGTGTGATTGAGTGTGTGTGTGTGTGTGTGTGTGTGTGTGTGTGTGTGTGTGTGTGTGTGTGTGTGTGTGTGTGTGTGTGTGTGTGTGTGTGTGTGTGTGTGTGTGTGTGTGTGTGGTGGGGGTAGGTGTTTAATCCCACATTAGGGGTGACTGGCTGGATTAGCATTTTGGGGAAAAATCAGAGTAAAAATAAGCAGCTGAGACATTTTTACTCCATGTTCCGCTCGTACCTCTCCCTCCCTCTGGCACCCTCGTGTCTCATCCTACTTCTCTGTATCACCCTATTTCAATGCCAAATTCACACTGACATGCTCCAAACTCATTGTAATACCCCGTCTGCCCAACTCCATTTTTGTTCCACTGCTCCCTACAGTTTTCTCCCCCCACCCCCTCAATTGCCTGTGTTTTATCGAGTGTAGATGTGATTATATGGGCCTTTGTGTTTGTCTGACAGGTGTCAAGGGCATTCTATCTCAGATATTTCCACTTTATCTTTACTACACAAAGACATAACCAGGGACAAACAGGGACAAACACACACACACACACGAAAACAACAACAACGTGAGCAGCCCACTGCAGCGTGATGTGTCGTTAATAGGTCTGTCACCGGTGACAGTTTGGGAGGATGATTGTCTCGGAGATTTCTTTGCAGAGTTGTCACTGGCACATCCATGTCATAAGAATAAATACATTTGGATCTTGTCACAACTTTTATAGCTCCATAAACAAGGTGACCGCAGAAGAAGGCAATTCACTGTAACAAAATAAATAAAATAAAAGACTGCGTGTGCGATGACAAATGGCTAGTCAACATTTGAAAGTTGCATCTCGGAGTGTCATCAAAGTAAACAATGCTTTTAGGAACTGTGCTCCATAAATAAAGATAACGGAGTATCATCTGGCCGGCTATAGATGATTCAGACTGTGTGCACACTGCTGAATTGTCATTATATGTGATGACTGCTTTGCAAGATTTTATTCATGTGAAACATTACAAATAAATTGAGAATACTGTGAGATTAAGGAAACCAACCTCTCGATCGAGGCCGGCTGCCACGGTAACGATATCTCCAGTCTCACTGTTGATGGTGAACATGTTGGGGATGGGGCTGTGCGGCGTCTGGGACAGGATTCGATAGCGCACCATTCCGTTAGCCGTGGTGTTGTCGTCACCGTCGAACGCTGACACGTGCATCACATACGTCCCTGATGAAGAAACAATTATATTTGTCAATACATTTCCAACCATTCAGCGAGCAAAACAAATGAACACACTCAGGCTTTCTGCTGATGTAACCTTACCTAGTCTGGTGTGAACACTACGGTCTAATGTTAGCTGACTTCAGTTGTGTGCCTGACTTTACTAAATCAGTTTGCTGACTTCTAGACTTAGGTTAAAGTGTTTTTTTTTTAAATGTCACAGATAGACATGTCCTAATACACAAAAGAAAAGTAAGCAACTGATAATCTCTAGTTGCCAAAACATTTTGTACTTTAATTGTATAGTTTAAAATAAAAAAAGTGTTCTGTGCACTCAGTACAGTTTAATCAACCATCCAACAAACAGATGTTATGACAGTTATACAGTATTGCTAACGATCACACGCATATTGGTTCACAAGTACATAAACATGGCGAGTAAACCACCTGGATAACCCATAACACTTTAATAACACTTATAATGTGAAAGCATCTTCACAGATTTATGTCAGCAGAGAAATGTTGCACACCTGTTCAATTAATAATAAAGACTCAACAACTACAAGCACAAATATATAATACGCACATTTATAATTATGACCAGATTTTATGGCATCATATATCATATTTTGCATTGAATGGATACAATGAAAAGGCTGCAAATGGTGAACCATTTCATCTTTACTGACTGAAAAATGGAAGGTTCTTGTACATGCTCAAGGTACATTTTGATGACAGATATTACTAATCACATGACTCCGTTACTATTTGCATAACATTAATAGTAAACACTTGCTTACATTGATTACATAGTTGTAAACCTGCCCTATATATATGATTGACTCTGATTACAAGCACAGGTATATAGGCGTATAGTATTCTGTGTCAGCGGAAAGAACGAGCCACTATCCGTCCATGAATGCACCACTTGTTTGCTATCTCCACACACTCATAACTCTGTGGGATCTCAGCCTGTCACCCAATCTCTCCATCTCTCCCGCTCCCTCTCTCTCGCAGCCCATTCTAATTGCCAGAGATAGTGATATCATGCCAGTGACAGCCCCTGTCCGAGGATAATTGTAACCGCAGCTCCCATTTCAAACTTCATTACATTTCAAAGCAACATTTGTCAATGACTCGGCCATAGGGAGCACTCTAAAGGCCTCTCAGCGAGACGAGGAAAAAAAAGCCAGCAGGAACAGAGGGAGGGAGAGGAGGAGAGAGGACAGACTCCATATTTGTTTTGATTCCAAAAGGAGTGACTCCAGCCCTCCACCCTTTGTTTTTATTTCTTAAGATGGAGGGATAGAGAGGAAGAGATGAAGAATCACAATGCGTCACACATCGCTGGGGTAATTTCATTAAGCTGCACTCTTAGGGGGTTTAATGTGGACCCTTTGTACAGGCGTCCTAAGCTGTGCCTGACAGGATTAGGTCCCCATAATGACTCTTTAATTTGCAAACTAATTCAAGTCTGTAATTGGCCTTGCATTGAAACCACTGGAGCTCTAAACTCTAAAACTCTCCTTTTTTTATGATTATTGTTCAGCTGAATGTCATGCATGCCACAGAGACTTGTCTGCTGGGAGGGGCGAGGCTGAGAGGGAGGGAACAGCAGCAGCGATAAAAGAAAGAAAGACAAAGAAAAAGGAAATGAGAACCTGGACACCTCTTGAGATCACCTATGGTGCAATAAACTCTGGCTCATCAGGCTCACACACACGCATACACACTGAGAGCTCGTCACTGGGATTCTTCCGCTCTGAGGTTAGACATAAAATGACCCAGTGGTGCTACAGCGTGGTACATTTAATCCTCAATCTCCTCTCCAGCCTGAGCACCCTCTTTGGTTTATGGCCGCTGCTGCAAAAGGCTCAGTGAAAAGCCACTGTGGGAGAAAGATTCACCGTCTGCTAAATCAAGGTGTTTGGACAATTCTCTATTGGGTCAAAGATTCACTGGTGCAGTCATTCTTTTAACTGCACCAATCTCTCCAGATATACTCATCCTCAGTCAACCTGTATCCAAACACGTCACCCCTCCACACATTTCTCTAATCTTTTCTAATAAACACTTCTTTGATTGGTCCTGCTACATATTTTATGTTTAATCTACCTATCCATCCATGCTTCATTACCTGGTTTAGAGCCTTCATCCACAGAGCCATTGTAGACCTGGTTTTTGAACTCGGGTCTGTTGTCATTCATGTCGATGACGAAGATGTACAGATCGATGGGGTTCTCCACCTGGTTCCCATTCATGTCCACAGCATGGGCTCGCAGCTAGGAGACACGAAGACACAGCAAAATCAGGTTGTATTTAAAGCATTGTGGATTTGGGAAGTAATGAACAGATAAATAATGTATGAAGATGAGTGCTTGTATAGTTTCATAAAGAAATATAATTATGTAGGGTAAACATTTGGTGATTAATGGATAATAAAAACATTTATTACAGAAGGAACAAGGGATTCTTCAATTTAACAACATTTATTTATAACCCCTTATTCATTCATTCATATTTTGGTTTCTGACACTTTTACAGTTCAGGCAAATTCTGTTGTCTCTGCATGTGTTTGTTGGAAACATATTTTGAAATGTATGTTATATTTTACACGTGAAAGTATTCATTTTCTGTTGATTAAAACGTTATTTCAGAATACTTTAGTCTGGTTTAGTTAAGTTACTACTCTTTTGTAACCTTACTGTACAATCTGTGGTTAGAATTGGAAATACTCAAACTAAATATTTGAATAGTTGTTTTGCATGTTTGAATATCATCTTCGTTTACTTGTGGGATAGACGCCCTCATTCCCTCAGTGTAATCCCAAATGTTTATACTCAAAGGAATGGACAGGAGAAAGCGAGAAGCAACATAAATAAAACACAAACAAACGTCAAAGATTTCTGAAGCTTCAAGGTGACTGCTTTCACAGAACCTCTAAAGCCGAACAAAAACCCACATTCACTCAATTTGTATTCAGCTCTGCTAAAAAATACACAGTCTGATCAAATCTGCATTGTTGAATAACACAGTATACCAGTTTCAAAAAGATTTATTTAAAGAAGTATAAGGTAGGGTCATAAGAGTCACTCTATATATGTTTCTTGGAAAGATGTAACCTTCGCCATCATGTACTTTCTTTACACTTCTTATCTCTTTTACACCTAGTCCCTGGAAGTGTTTTATCTCGGTACAAAACCAAAACAAGAAACATCTTATTTATTCGAAGCAGGCAATGTTATAAAGGCAAGGTTCCCGTGCTAGGATCACTGTGCATCCCAGAAAAACATTCTGTCAGGTTTTGTTTGAAAGAGAGCTCTGAAAAAATCCTCACTTCCCTCTGAATCCACAAACTCCGTCGGCCCATCTCAAATTCAACTCTTCTGTGTTTAGATCAATGGAATCGCCAACTAGGATTTCTCACAAAGTTTGGACATGAAGTTATTACTGGAATCAATACATAGCGTGAAATGTGTCTTGACTGCCTTCTCTGGAGGAAAGGAAAAGAACCGAATGGAAATGAGAGTAGAGAAAAACAACTGAATTATCAGGGAAATGTTGAGTTTAAATAAATACTTGAGATTTGTCTTCTCACTGCATACTTGAAGGTCAAACTAGCAGACAGAAAAGCTCTTTCAGAATGGCTCTCAGTAAGGCTGTTTTGATTTAGTTTACCTTACCTAGGAATGTTTATATCCCTGACCATGACTTATTCAGTGATATTTCTGTCAGCTGCAAGCACCCGGGATGTTTAGTTTACATGATACCAGGGGGGAGAAAAAGGCTCATTCAGATACTATCTACATCCTGCTCCTAAAAACATAGGCTTGTAAATATTTATTTAGTCAAAATGTCAGCAATCAATTCCAGGCCCCTTCACCTGATCTTATGGTAGGGGTATTCATCTAAAGGTAGGATGAAAAAAGACAGAATTGCAAGCAGCTGGAGGAGGCGAAATAAAACATGTTAGAAACTACAAGAGAAGATTAAAAAAAACGTCATTTGTTTCATCATGTATGGAGGATAATGGGAATGATACTCTTCCAGTCTTAGTATGCTTGATAGGAAATCTGCTACCTGGCCATTTTGCATATACAGCACTAGAGCCAAATCAGTAAAATAGCCTCCAGGCTTGTTGTGGCAGAAAATAGAATAAACAGCACTCTCCATAGGCTCCTTCTCCTCAGAGAGGTGAAGATTTCTCCCACTGCCGCCCATCCTCTCCTCCGTCTGCTTCCACTTTGCACCTCCACCAAAATGTCCTCTTAAGGTCTCCCTGAGGTTAATTTCACTCTACCTTTTCCACTGCATTGTCTGATCTGTCCTGCCATCGCACCCAGCATCTCTCTGTGCTGTTAGAGGCTACGAGCCTTATCTCTCGCCACCCTCATCCCTCCATGCACCTACACCCTAATTCAATAACAGCAAGAGCAAGAGATTACCGCCATGTTTAAAGAAGGCAAAATGCATTTCTGGGTCCAAATTAAAGTTATTATCTTGAAAGGCAGGTGGAGAAAACAGACTGCACCAGGCAGTGCTCGGCTTTTGGCAAAGAGGCAGCATACTGATAGAGATAACAGCAAACCCGGAAGCTCAAAGGTTTTCCCTTACAGCGCATATTGTTAGACGGCTGGATTTGAATTTCAACTGCTCTTGAAATAAAAAGAACTAGACCGTAACTTTGTTGTGCCCTTGCATGAGATATGAAGTCAACAAAAGAAAGAGCACAAAGTCAAATATAACTTTGTGTGAGTTGTTCAGTAAATAAATTATTCCACGTCTTTTAAAGTTATCTGAGGATTGAGCATGTTCATGTTTTATACAATACAGTTTAATTGCTTTCTTGTAGCTTTAAAAGCATTGAGTGTGAGAGGACTTTAATTTATTTAGAAGTGCAATTCTGTTTACACGTACATCTTGTCTCAGCTGGTTTCTCCCTGAAATGTGTATTCCACCCCAACTATAGCGTTTTCTCTACAACAAACATGGAGTTTAACTTAAGCAGCCCTTAGCAAGCTTCCGCCTTTCTTAACAAATCACCTCATTGATTGGAGTTTGTCCTGGGTATAAATCTGCTCACACTAAAAGGTTGGACTTGGCAGGAGTGTTAGTCAGGACTAGGTTCCCATATCAATGGATAGCAGCAGGTACAAATACTGGGAAACAAGGGACAAACTAAAGTGATTTAAAAAGTGTGGTTGCCTACTACATCAAAGCCCTGAAGCTCTCTTTCCACGACTAGCTGAGGCAGCAATACAACAAGTTTATACTTTTATGAACTTTAAATGCACTTTGCCTGAATGTTTAATACTTACATGCCTTGAACAGCAAGCAAAGCACAAAGGTGAGAGGAGGCGTTGTTTGAACTCAAATGAGGAAGCGCTAAGAGAAGGTGTCTTGTCCAATTAGTTTTTTGACCAGAACAGCATGGACAACACAAAGATGGCCATCCAACAGTGCTCTGCAGCTTCTCATTTAACTTTTCTCAAGAAAGCAACAAAGCACTTTTCCTAAAGTCTAACTATTCCTTTGATGAACAGACATGAGAAAGACATCGATATTCTCATCTTGTTTTCAGAATGGCGTTTCACTTGTTTTTCACATCTTGCCACTCACTTATCTATTTTTATTCTTTATTTGCCTCTGTTACTGGCACAGCTATGTTGCTGGCTGAGAACTTAATAATGAATTAACACATACTCTAACTTTAACCACACCTTTAAGAGTACAAATAATTTCATTATTCCTCCCACCATTGCTGTGCACTTAAGTTTTGATTGTTCTTGCAGTGATAGAAGAACAAGAACCAACACGCAAACAACTCGTTTTCAATTTCTATGCTAAAGTGATTTCTGGCTTATTGTAATAATGTAAAGCAACCTTGTTATGTATTCTTTTTTGATTTAATTAAATGATTTCTAAAGCTCATTTGTTTTTTCATAATGTGATATGTTGAGCAAATGTATGTTGGAATAATGAATGAAATATTAAATTAAATCTAAAACACATTATTACCATCTCATGCATATTTCATGTTTCAGGGTGAAGCGAACACTGTAAGAATTACAATTATACTACAAGTGAGGGATTTTATATGCTTTATTTGTTTTATTTTATTTTAGGGTTATAGACTCAGCACCAATGTATATCAATCAAAATGACGTAGGATTACATTTTATTTTAGTTTCTTATCTAATTTTATCTCTTTGGGTATTATTTTATTCGTATTAATTATTGATTTTGTTTTTATAAGAAGGCTTTTTCATAACATAGAACCGGATAGAACTGGCAGTGGCTCAGTCAGTAGGGGCTTGGACTGGGAGCCGTAGGGTCGCTGGTTCAAGTCCCCGACCAGACCTAAATATGGAGTGTGGACTTCTACTTGGAGAGGTCCCAGTTCACCTCCTGCCCTGCCGTGGTGCCCTTGAGCAAGGCACCGGACACCCCCCTTCCCCCCCACTCCCATTGCTCCCCGGGCGCTGTACAATAGCTGCCCACTGCTCCTAGTACTAGACTCCTTGTACTAGGATGGGTTAAAAGCAGAGGCCAAATTTCACTGTGTGTGCTGTGTGCTCTGCATGTGTGACCATTAAAGAGGGTTTCATCCCTCCCTATTCTATTCTATTTCTATTCTGCCTTAAACCTGCTTGTTGGGGTGGTTTATATTTTATGTGTTAAAGGGACAACTGTCTGTAAAAGGATGACTGTAGTTTATTTCAAAGGTCACAGCTGAGACACACACACACACACACACACACACACACACACCACACACACACACACACACACACACACACACACACACACACACACACACACACACACACACACACACACACACACACACACACACACACACACACACACACACACACACACACACACACACACACACACACAAACTACTCACATGGTAGGAAGAGCGATGTTCTCGATCGAGAGGTTTGGTGACGAACATCTTTCCTACCACGGGGTCGATATTGAACACCTCATTAGGCGGTTGATCTGCTCCCACCCCAGTGATGCTGTATCGGATGGATATGTCCTTGTCTTGATCTGAGCGAATCTGCATCAGAACAAACAAAGAGGAACTGTCAATCAATGGTTTAGTGAAGTCTTATACTGCGTTTCAGCACTCTTACAGTGAGGAATCTCAACTCAAACACACAGCCGGCCTTAACCTATTGGAGCAACATGTGCTGAGGGGTGTTTATTACTCAAGCATCAGTTTATGATATGCAGCTTGAGTTTAATAATTCCGTCCCAGAAATCTGATATTGCATATTTTTCCACTGGAAATTATGAACAGGCCACACACACACTCCTTCTCACACACACACATATTCATCACAGTTTGGCATTTCTAGCTTCCACATACTCAAAGATTCCATTAGTGCTGCCGCAGGGAGCGCTATGTATTCTGTTTGGCAGAATTGGACAGCTTCAAAGAGAAATTTAAATTCAATTTTTTGGGTAAGGAGAAATGAAATCAACATATATTTACTGTTAACTGACAGGCAGGTAGTGATTTATTAAGATTAGCTCGAGCCTAGCTGGGATAGATACAGGTTGTGAACAATAATGGCAATTAGGGAGGAAAGTGTGGTGGTAATTCTGTTGTAATTTAGGGAAGCAACAACAGGCTAAAGCAATAAACACGCTGTTAGAACACAAAAATGGGCAAGAAGGAAATAATCATCTCAAATCTCATAACAGAAATATTGAATAACGGTGGAGATGGGAAGCGCAGTGTTCTTTAAGGAATACATTCGTTTACTTCGATTCAGCTTTTCCTTCCAGACAGACAGTGAATAGGTGCATTAAGTGCACTGTTAGGCCTGTGATTTGGGCTGTGTAATTGGAACTCATCTGGAGGAGTTTTTCAATTTACTGCCCAAATTGAGTCCAAACCTCTAAGCATCCCATCTCTGTCCATGAACTACATGACAGCCCATGAACATCAGCTGATGTATCAACATGACTCAATCATAAAGCTACTCCAGTATGCGGGCACGTACTGCGCACGCACAACCGCACAACCACCCACCCACACAACCACCCACACACCCACACACCCACACACACACACACACACACACAGGGATGGCCAGCCTTTTTCACTAATCAATCTTGATTTGACTGCAGAGTGCACCATAAGAGTAAAGACTGTCCAAAGTCCTCTCCATCTTTCAGCACTCGAGCAACCAATTTAGCCCTACTTTTGACACACTTGGAATTCTGCCTTGCTGAGAAAATAGCTGAAGCAACTAACAAGGACACGGAACAGACACATAATATTAGACAGGTGTCATCCTGACTTTTCCTGCTGGTGGAAGAAGAAAGCTGTCACCATCACTACACTGCTATTATGACTATTTCCCTCCTCATCAGCCTCGACATTATCATAAAATCTCCATTAGAACGATCTGGTTGAGGAGGTGTGTCTTCCTAATCAAACAAATGTGATCAGTTATAGACACCTTCCCCTGTATGAGGAGCTGTCACAACATCCTACAAATGCTATTTGTGCATGTCTGTATGTGTGTTTTCTTTGGGGAATAGAAGGAGGAGAACGTCAGAATGCTCTGCACATATCTCAGCGAATTACTGTTGACAGCTATGATAATTAACGAGCTGCAGGCATCGACTGCAATTACTTCAAAGAAACTCTACCCGTTAAACACCGACAAACTAACAAATATCAGTTAGTGGCTCAGTTGAACTCTCAGTGTAGCGCCATTACCCTCCTCTACAGCAGAGACTGCAGCACACTGACTCCATCTACCTCTCCTGTCGCATTAGAAAATACAAGCAATTATTACACATCCCACTGACAAACTGTCTCCCCCTCTTATTCATTGCCCTTTCTCTCCTCCCCTCTTCTTGTCTTTCCTTTCCTCTGCCCTCCCTTCTCCTTTCCAACTCCTTCTCTCTCATCTCCACTCCTCCCCTTTCCTCTCATCTCTCCCCTCCGCTGTTCTCTCTCTCATCACTCTCTCTCTCTTTCTTCGCTTCAGGTCTCCATTGGGACAGAAGCCATGCATGAAAAATGAAATTACTTCAAACCGTTGGCCTTGGCAGTGGCTTCTAAATCCTCACCAGTTAGGAAGTGATAGCTCTCCATAATTCCATTTGGGTTTTCCCCGCCCCCCTGATTTCCCACCCTTTTCAAGTCGTCCTGCTTGGGGGGGTGAGAAGAGTTTCGGCTGCACGTTTTGACAGTCATTCCAGCCAATTAGCTCTCCCGCCCACAATGTTCACATAAACGCTTCTAAAGCTGTCGAGGTGCTGCGCCAGAAACCTTAACCTCCACTGTGTATACCAAACTTAACATATGCGCATCACATACATATTTACATTGGTATGCATTAAAGACCTGATAAAGGATAATAGCTAGCTGTTGCTGGGTGTCAGTCTTCTCTTGTTGTCACAGAATAATGTGACAGGCAATGGCATTTCAATAGTGAGCAGCTCTTGCTAACATTCTGCCATTTTAGCTTCAGAAACAAAGGGTACATGTTGAAAAAGTGAAGAGCTTCTCATAACTGTATTCACAATCTTTTTCTATAACGACAAAGGGGAAACTCTGCCTTGCAACACTGCTATCTGACACCTCACAAAATACCACATAGTCACACAAAACAATTCTCCATTGGATAATAAATAACAAAGGAATTTATTTTCAAGAGCGCCAATAATTCGATAAAAATGTTTTTTGCCGTTTTTCGTTTCTTTGGGTTTTTTTCATCTTTTTTTTCTTTCTTTTCAATTGTGTGTATGTGGGTCTACAGAGAGATAGTGGAGGAGAAGCGCTCAGCCAACAAGGATTGATAGTGAGAGAGAAAGAGAGAGAGTCATGACTGTATCATCCGGCATCAGAAACCAGACACTGTCTAAATGACCTATTTGTAGACGGATCAAAGCAATTCCCTTCATTACTGACAACTTGTCTGGTTCTTAAGGAGATCTTATCAGTGAGCTTAGCTCCCTTCTACCAGGCAAAACTGAATCAAATGAGAAATTATCATGGCACCGAGTCTTTGGGGAAAACAGAGAAGATGAGATGAAGAGAAGGGAGTGAATAACACAGAGGAGCCGTTCCACCACCAGTTACTAGGAATTTATTCTCGCTTAAAAATGCATGTTAACTAATACTTTGAAATGTTTCAAACCACAACTACTTAGATATTTGACAGAGCTGCATGTTTTAGATGTACACAGCTTTTTATTTGTTTTTATTATGTTGATATTTAAAAAATGTAATCCAAATTGCAACCATCATGTGTGGTAACAAGCTAACATTGGTGCTAGATATGTACAACGACATAATGAGAGCTGTTAATATTGAGTGACTTGAAATCAAAACCCCTATAGAATGAAATGCAATAGATGTAGTTACTCCTAATATGTAATCCACCCCATTTGCAAAGGAGGGAGTAGAAACAACAAATACTAGGAACAGTGTTTCCCACAGAATTTGATTCTATTTGTGGGGGCACCCCCCCCACCCCCGACAAGAAAAGCCAAAGGCCCCTTAACCTATTCGGGTGGTCCACGCATCCACTCCCCCCTCAAATAAGATAATACATGCAAGTTCATGGCTACTGTAGACAACGTTCTTGTTGCTCTTGCATTGTTAATGAGTGAATCACACCGGAGTTGAGGATCTGTGGGGTTTATTCTCCCAAAAATATAATTTAAAATGTAGGCATTTAGGAGATGCCTTATTCCAAAGCAACTTACAATGACCAATTACAGGGACATTCTCCCTGGAGTAACCGAGGGCTGAGTGCCTTACTCAAGGGCACACTAGTAGTGGTGTTCCAGGCAGGATTTGAACTCGCAACCTTCCGATCATCAGCCCACCTCACTATCCATTAGACCACCAAAAAAATAAAAAAGAATACAAAATAAATTAAAAAAAGAATAATAATATATATATATATTTTTATGAGATCCATTTGTGGCGGATGTTTGCTATAAATAAGCAAGATCTCTTTAATGTCTTTTTCTTTTAATGGCACAGTGTTTCTATTTTCTTTTGCTTTGTAAGACCACATTTTTGTGAAGTTAATACAAAAGTATCCTTTAAAAAGATTGTATCTACCTCCTTTGCCCTAACATACCCTGAGATAGCTCGACCTTAGTTATCCTGGCTGGTCTCGGGTCTATTTTTAAAGGTAATTTAGGTAAAAACTCAGAAAATAATGGTTCTTTTATGAAAGGCACTACATGTCAACAGTGGTGAGGAACATTGAGAGGCTCTGGTACACTCATTTCAGAATATAATATTCTGTTAGCAGCTTTTTCCTCTTTGACCAGAGGATGAATGCGCTGTTAGGTGATGGTTAACTGGCTGCTAACCACCTCCTGGTTGTAAGCCAACCAGTCAAGTATCCGTTTACATCCATATCTGTCGTGTCTGTTACGCAGCGTCCACACGGCGGCGTGCGTTGAAGCTTGCCGGTGGGCGTGTCTGAAACTCGACCAACAACCAATCACATGAATCTCACGCGGTTTGATTGGCTAGAGCTTGTACTGGCATATGATTTGATTGGCTGACGCTTCCATCGAAGCTTCAAAAGTAGAACATTGCTCTACTTTTGAAGCGAGCAAAGCGAAGCGACGGAACCACAATGCAGTTGGGCAAAGCGTGACGTCACCCCATTCAAAGTGAATGGGCAGAAGCGTTGAAGCTTCAACGCACGCCGCCGTGTGGACGGGCCGTTACTGTAGGACTCTGAAGGATTTATGTTTATGTTTTCTTTGGTGCAATAGAAGATCGTTTTACCTGACCTATTATGTCATTATGTGACATTATAGGACAATCACCTGAAGCACAATATCAGAAAATCCAACACGCTTGTGGTGGAATGCCAGAGGAACAAAAGCCCCCCAGGGAGAGGAAGTGAGGAGGATGGACTCAAAAAAGAATCTTGGGTTTAAAATCAATACAAATACTGGACTGCAGATCTTCCATCAGTCTGCTGTATCCACGGCTCTGTTCTTTACAGTGGTGAGCTGGGTTAGAAGAATGAAGGTTTGGAGCTCAGCAGGCTCAACAAG